TGACGACAGCCATGCCGACACAACAGGGGCAGTTTACCGTTTTCATTCCATCATTTCTAATAATAATTACAGAAGCCGTGTGAACTGCGCAGGTTTGACGGGCTCTGTGCAGACCTTCTGTCCGGTTTAACTAGAATCTGCACACGTTCTGACAGGTGGTCAGAGCACCCGACAGCCCACGCTCACTCTGAAACCAGCGCTGGCATATGCTCTGTGCCATGGACGGCCGCTGTGATCACTTTTTGGTTTCAAATCTACCCGTTTATGATGCAAGTGCAGCTGTTTTGATCTAAGGAGCGAGGGGCGGCCAGGACGTAATGGACACTGACCTGGAACACCGAGGGCCCCGAGGATGCACCCAGGGCGTTTGGTCTGGGCACGGCTCCTCCTTGCTGGTCCCACTGGTCCCCATGGACCTGGGCCAGCAGCTCCTGCCGTGGGGACACCACAATGCAGTGGCCCGTGGTGGGGTTGGCTGCTGCCAACACTGGCGCCCAGGTGCCACCAGCACTGCGCTCCAGCAAAGGAACTTGCAGTTCATGCTGGCAGCTGGGTGTCCGCTCTCGGTTGACTGAGCAACTCTTCCGAGAACCACTCCGGAGGAAGGGCCCCCTCAGCCTAATGTGGGTCACCCCCTTGTCCCCGTGCCTGAGGCAGTAGCGTGACTCGTTTGTCACTGGTTTCGACCGTGTGCTCCTTTACTGGCTGACTGTATGTCACTGGCCTGTGAAACAGTTACTGTAAAATGTGACTCCTGCAGTGAACCTGTGTTAAATGAGTGACTGGCAAGAGCAGTCTCTGCGCACAACGTGGGGCTAAGAGAACCGGCGGCACAAACCACGAACCAGCTGCTAAGAAGGACGCTGGAAACACATGCCCTTTAATACCGGAAACAATGACGGTGAGGAAGAAACCAGCAAAACACACAGCGCCATCGCTGTGACGTCACTCTTCTTTTCTCCTCCTTCTCCGTTCTTTTCTTTTCTCTTGTAAGATCTTCAGGTCAGTCATCACATTCAAAGTCTTACGTACCCACATAATCTAAAAATAATCGTTTTGAGACATGTTTAGAATTGGGAAACACAGAGAGAGAGAGAAACAAAAGCTTGGCAGTCTGTAACATACGTACCACAATGACCATGGCATTCAACAGCAGCGGTGCCGAAAACACAATCGAAATGAACATCCCTCTTGAATCGAAATACTGGTATTTTGAAAATAACCTGTTATNGTGACTCGCGTGATGTGGAGGAGGTCTCAGGCTCCGGGTTCTCACTTTGTGTGTGTCTCCTCCGCACCATGTGGGTGTGCACCCGCTGACTGCTCCTTCACTCAGGATGTGGACTGAACGTGCCGGGGAGGCTGGCAGCGCTGACTCTGAACGCATCATCCCATCGTGTGGGGAATCCAGGTATCTGACTCTTCTTCCAATGGCCCTTTCACGTCTACAGATGTGTTCACGCCCCTTAACCCATCGGAGCCTTGTAACAGCCGGTCGGTATTACTATTCCTTTCACAAATGAGACAAGAGAGCTCCAAAGACATTAAACCACTAAAAATGCAGTTAAGTAGAAGAAAATGGCAGAAAATCCAGGTCACCTTCACTTTGCTTATGACTAGTTCCGAATGACACCAATGACAATCTGATAAAAGAAAAAACTGATAAGCTGAACTTCCTTAGAGCTAAAACCTTTGTTCTGCGAAAGACACTGTTAAGAGACGGAAACAACAAGATACAGGCTGGGAGGAAGTATTTGCAAAACATGCATCTGATCAAAGACTGTTATCCAAAATGTACAAGAGTCTTAAAACTCAACAGTATGAAAACGAACAACCCACTTTAATGAAGGGCAAAAGACCTGAACACATCACCACTGAAGACATACAGTGGCAGCTGTTCAGTGTCACGTGTCGTCAGGACGCCCGTCAGCAGGTGATGCATAGGCACGTGTGGTCCCTCGGACAGTGGGCTGTCAGCCCTGAAAGGAGTTGAGCTCCCAGGGCACAGACGGGGGAGGGAATTGTGTGCTATGGAGTGAAAGGAGCCCATCTGAACCGGCCACACGCTGAGTGAGTCCAGCTGTGTGATGTCCGGGAAAAGGCACAGCACAGCCACAGACGGGCGACTGACCGAGTCGGGGAGGGGCGAGCAGGCAGAGCCCAGCGGGTGCCAGGGCTGTGCGGCACACATGTATGTGTGCTTGACACACCCTGGTGATACGTGCCCTGGGATGCTTGCGGGCAGGGAACGTGTCAGTGGCTGAGGTTGAAGTGGACATATGCTGGGGTGTGGGTGGCCGAGGGCCAGCCGGCCGGCCCGGGAGCTGCAGACAGAGGCCGAGTCCACATCTGACGCCCTGGGACTTTGGGCTGAGCCATCAAGATGCGTCAGATGCGTGCCTGTCAGTTTCCGGCCATGCTGCCTGAGGTCACATGCGCTAGGGACTCAGAGGGGACAGGCGGCATGATGAGGCCAGCTCTCAAGTCACAGGTTCCCAATTCCTCGTGACCTTGTGAGTAGCGCGGACCCACAGGTGAAGCAAGTGACCCTGCATTCCCTTTGCCTCCAACTCATTCATCACTGAAAATGCCGGAGACAGGCCAGGGCCGGCCGGTCTCTCACCGGCGTGTCCCTGGGGCTCCCCACGCCTGGCGCCGGCCACGTGACAAGCCCCCGCGTGTCCTGGCATCCCCAACGCACTGCGTCCTGGGTGCATGTCCTCCTGCAGCAGCCCCGTGGCCCCTTTCGTTTCAGTCTCCTTTACTTGGTCTAATCTACCTTGAAAAGTTCACGAAACTAGAAAAACGTTAGCCATGAAACATGGGTTCCTTAATTCAGATGGCACTCAGGGCCTGCGTGTGCGTGTTTCCTAGTGCAGCAGAGGTGAGCGCAGCTGCTGGTTTTCCTGCAGGCGTGTGCGTGTGCGTGTGCGTGCGCCTCGGCACACTCTAAACACCATAAGGTGGACCTCGTTCACCTGGTTCCAATGAAGAAAGGAAACCAAAGCTCCCAGCGCTCCGCCCAGCCTTTCTTGGGACATTTGGCTTCTCTTTCTGAACAGTGATGACTGTCCCCAGCGGCCACCCTGGCCTCTGACTGCTCACCTGGGAGCCCGTGACAGCGCGCGGGTGCCCTCTGCAGGCTGCAGTGAGATTGCACTTTCGCGGGAAGGAGCCGTGGGCAGCCGCGGGGGAACCTGCAGACGGGCCTCCACGCGGCACGCTCGCCCCCAGCTCGGCGCCCTGCACAGAGGTGGGCACCGACGGCTGTGGCTCCTGTGCCCGTTGCCCGCGGGCGCTGAGGACACGCCACACTCACACCTGCCACAGGGCCGTCACTGCGCCTGCACGTAGGGAAACTTCATACCCACCTGTTTATCCTTCGGTGACATTATTAAATACGCCTGGCAGACACTACACACCTTTTCCAAAAGCGGAAACTCAGTGATTTGGCCGCTGTCAC